TAAACCACTGTAGTTAAAGGAGTTAGTAATATACACACAGCTGATTTAAAGGAGTTATAAATAATAATAGCTGATTAAAAAGGAGTATAAATATATTACAAGGCTGAGTTAAGGAGTTATAATAAATAATAACACTGAGTTAAAAGGATTTATAATATAATACAGCTGAGTTAAAGGATTGATAAAATATAATACAGCGGTTTAAAGAGTTATAATATATATAAACAACAGCTGACGTTAAAGGGAGTTATAATATAATACCACAGCTGAAGTAAAGGAGTTAATAATATAAGCAACACAGCTGAGTTAAAGAGTTATAATATATACAACACAACTGAGTTAAAGGAGTTTATACATATTAAAAAAGCCTGATTTAAAGGAGTCTATTAATATAACACACAGGCTGAGTTAAAAGGATTATAATATAATAATTATATTATAACTCCTTTAACTCAGCTGTTATTATATTATAACTCCTTTAACTCAGTCGTAACATTATGAGAATAAAGTCGTAATATTAGGTCTACGAGAATAAAGTCGTAACATTACGAGAATAAAGTCATAATATTACGAGAATAAAGTCGTAACATTACGAGAATAACGTCGTAATATTGCAAGAATAAAGTCGTAACTTTATGAGAATAAAGTCATAATATTACAATGATGTTTTACATTTTATTGTATTAATTTTTAGCCTTGCAAAAATGTGTTGTTTATTATGTGAAGCACTTGTTTGTATAAAAGGTGCTATACATAAATAAAGTTGAGTTGAGAGTTTAGTTAAATTGTTATAATTAGTTTAACCTCAAACAGCTGTAGAGTTAGTGTGCAGTGACTGCATATTACCACAAGCATTGTTGCATTATATCCTGGCAAAAAAAAAATAATTTTAAAGGACCAGTGTGTAGGATTTAGTGGCATCTAGTGGTGAAGCTGCAGATTGAAGTGAACAGTTGTGTTTGTGTATGTGCACATTATTTTGGACTGTGCTTTTAATTTGGAACAGCTGTTGTATTATGCAAATGCATGCAATTAGCAGGATAAAAGAGGTATCTGTTGTACAGTAGATGGCAAAGCTGAGCAAGGAAGTAAACAACACAGGACACAGTAACCACCAGGTGGTACTAAACGAAAACACACTCAGACAGAGGAGGTGATTGGAGGGCCAAAACTAAAACTTATGTCAGGCCAACTGTGGCCCGCAGGCCCCACTTTGGGCACCTCTGCTTGAGTAGATACTTGAAATAATGATTTGTAAATCACATAGAGCATCATATATATATATATATATACTGTTATCTCTGTGGTTAAACAGCTCTTTCTGGATTGTAAGCAGGAGTGTGTCCAGAGGTCAGCATATATCTGTGCGGTTGAGGAGCTGTTTGGACTCTGGATGTCATTTGCGACAGATTCTGTTTGAAAAGATTCAACTGGAGAGAAATGAGAGAGTTTGAATGATGAATCCCAATGCAGCTGTATGAAATCAACTCATCTAATTCTGAGAGAAGAGGCTCCACAAAGAGACATCCTGCTGTGATATGTGTCATATTCAAAGATAAAATGAGGCCATTGATTTGTTAGTCTCTCATCAAACCAGCTACTTATCCAGCAACATGGAAGTAAACATTTAAGTAAATTTATATTTGTTTCCAAAAATACTTATTCTATTCTATATTATACAACTTATTCTGTATTTGCAGGTTTTCATGCAGTTTAGGTGGAATAAATGGAAAATGAAAAGTTTGTTGTTGTTTAAATAAAAAGCATAATTCCAGTGGCATTATTTGACTTTGCATTAAATATTACTGTTTAATGTTGTAAATTCAGTTCACTGTAAAGAAACATGGAAATATCAATGGAAAAAATCCATTCAGATTCAGATCAAATTAGTGTTATTTGTTTGTTTTATTTTGTATGTTTTTAAGTGTTTTTTTTATCATTGAGAAGATAGTAGGAAAACCGGAGCACCCCGGAGAAAACCTGTACAAACATATGCTAAGCCACCATGCTGCCAAAATAATTTTGCTCAAAAGTTATGTGCAGTGTCTCAAAGGGCTTTACAGGTGCCCTTTGAGACACTGCACGTCCAGCCTAAACTCTCTAGGAAGACAAGGAAAAACTCCACCTAAGGGGAGAAACCTTGGAAGAGGCAATTCGAAGAGAGATCCCCTCTTCACAGATGGCTGGCAGAGCAAAAGGGTAGTGGTGGAGGGAGTTGGGGGCAGGAGGTTGATGGTGGCTGATTGTCCGGCTGCTCATTTGAACAAGCGGAGGAATCTTCTCCACATGGAAGGCTTCTTTGGCTTTTTCTCTGCCAATTTCAGCATTTCCTGGAGGTCCTCCCACTTTTTCTGCTCCTCCTGCAGTGTCTGCTGGATGCTGACGAACGACTGCAGGAGGGTGGACCTCTCCTCCTGCCACTGCAGCTGCTGTTTCTCCAGCTCGCTCTGCATTTGTAGTTGGGTGGCCATTAGAGCGTTGTTTTGTTCAGTAATCTTGGTTAGGGCCATGTCGCGTTCTTCACATTCTTTCTTTTCCCTCTGAAGCTCTTCCTCAAGCTGCTGTGCTCTGCAAAGAGCTTTGGCTTCTTCAGCCTTCTTTGTTGAAAGCTCCAGCTCCTGTTCCTCGAGCTGACTGGACTTCTTCAGTTCAGCCTCACGATGCAGAGCCTGCAGGGTGGACCTCTCCTCCTGCCACTGCAGCTGTTTCTTCTCCAGCTCACTCTGCCCCTGGAGCTGGGCAACCATCAGAGCATTGTTGTGCTCTGAAACCTTGGCCAAGGCCACGTCGCATTCTTTACGACCTTCCTTTTCCCTTTGAAGTTCTTCCTCGAGCTGCTGTGCTCGAGAAAGGGCTTCAGCTTCTCCGGCCTTTTTTGCCGAAAGCTCCAGCTCCAGCTCTGCAATCGTGTTCAGCTTCTTGAGCTCTGCATCTTCATTTAGAGCCTTGCTGCTTCCGAGCATGATCTTCAACTGCTCGACCTCTGCTTCTAAATCCGCCTTACGCTCAGTGAGCTCATGTAACTGGAGCTCAGAGATGCAAATCATGCCCTCCTGAGGGGGAGCCAGTCCACCACTGGCCTTGCCCTCTGTTTTCTGTAACTGCTTCAACAGAGATGCTAAGCCCTCATTCATTGCCGTAAGCTCGGCAGTGTGCTGTGGTTCTTTGGTGGTGTGCTGTGGTTCTTTGGTGGCCTGCTGAGGGGATTCCTCAACCCTCTGACAGGCCTGGACCCTGCCAGCTGGAAGTTGTTTGGCAGGTGCATGATGGGGGCGAGGTGCCGTCCACAGCTTTTTGTGCTGGACGGGGCCCCTTTCAAAGTCCTTCATCTGACTTGTGTGTTGACTCGGAGGGGCGCCATATGTTGACTGTGGTGTCCAGAGTGTTTTGTTCTGGACAGGTCCCCTCACAAAATCTATGTCTGTGATGTAGGGTGATGGTATTTTCACATCCATTATAGGTGCACCGACCCTGCAGACCAGGTGCTTAGCACGAGTTTGCTTTGGTGTGGCAGGCCGCTGCAGCTCTTTTAATGGAGCCACTTGGGGTGTAGCTCCCTTCTTCTGTGCATCCTCAGGTTTTCTTTTGAGGATGCGAAATCTAGGCTGTGCCTTGGTTGGGTTAGGACTTTCTGGGTTTTCCATCGTTAAAACTTTATGTTAAAACTTGACAAGAAAACTTGACGAGAAAACTTTGACGAGAAAACTTGACAGGAAAACTCGACGTGTTCGCTGTGTATCTTTCGATGTGTGAACTGTTCTGACTCAGGTTCTTGGATATTCATAAGATTTTAGAATGTGTCCTTTGATGGCACATCAAAGGAAACTGAATGTTTGTGTTCTAGAATGTGTCCTTTGATGACGTATCAAAGGAAGCGGAATGGAGTGTTTGTATTCTAGAATGTCCCTCCTCACCATGGAAACCACATGTAAACACTCTTAATTCAAGATGGCCGCTTGTGTGGAGAATTTCCATTGAAACTAATCAAACAGCTAGCTGCCCACACAACTTTAACAATTTAACAACTTTAAAGATGTAATCGGATACAATTTTTAAGTAATCCAAATAATTCTCAACTGGAGCTGGAGCTTTTGGCAAAAAAGGCCAGAGAAGCTGCAGCTCTTTGTCGAGCACAGCAGCTTGAGGAAGAGCTTCGGAGGGAAAAGGAAGGTCGTGAAGAACACGGCATGGCCCTGACCAAGATTGCTGAGCTAAATAACGCTCTAATGGCCACCCAACTACAAATTCGGAGCAAGCTGGAGATGCAGTGGCAGGGGATCTCTCTTGGAACTGCCTCTTCCAAGGTTTCTTCCCTTACATGGAGTTTTTCCTTGTCTTCTTAGAGAGTTTAGGCTGGACGTGCAGTGTCTCAAAGGGCACCTGTAAAGCCCTTTGAGACCCTTTGCATGTAACTTTTGAGCAAAATTATTTTGGCAGCATGGTGGCTTAGCATATGTTTGTACAGGTTTTCTCCAGTTGCTCCGGTTTTCCTACTATCTTCTCAATTATTAAAAAAAACACTTAAAAACATAAAAAATAAAAAAAACAACTAATATCACTAATTTTATCTCTGAATCTGAAAGGATTTTTAATTGATATTTCCATGTTTCTTTACAGTGAACTCTAGATTTACAACATTAAACAGTAATATTTAATGTAAAGTCAAATAATGCCACTGGAATTATGCTTTTTATTTAAACAACAACAAACTTTTCATTTTCCATTTGTTAGACCTAAACTGCATAAAAACCTGCAAGAATATCTTCATTCAGTTGATTAGAATCAGAATGAAACTATGATTGTGTACATGGTCTCTGCAAATACAGAATAAGATGAAGTATTTTTAGAAAAAAATATAAATTTATTTAAATGTTTCCTTCCATGTTGCTGGATAAGCAGCTGGTTTGATGAGAGACTAACAAATCAATGGCCTCATTTTATCTTTGAATATGACACATATCACAGCAGGACGTCTCTTTGTGGAGCCTCTTTTCTCAGAATTAGATGAGTTGATTTCATGCAGCTGCATTGGGATTCATCATTCAAACTCTCTCATTTCTCTCCAGCTGAGTCTTTTCAAACAGAATCTGTCACAAATGACATCCAGAGTCCAAAAAGCTCCTCAACCGCACAGATATCTGCTGATCAAATGCAATCCAGAGCAATAGCCCTGCAAACATCCCACACAGTATCTGTTCACTTACAACCAGGGGCGTTTCCAGACTTTACTGACTGTGGGGGGGCACTGATTTATTCATCTCAGCTTTCCATCACTCCCAGTTTACAAAATTCCAATACTGTTTATCCCAGTATGCAGAAATATTTAAATAAACTAGGTGAAAATAACACATTTATATCACATGGTTTTTCCCCAAAACTGCATGGGATTAGCATAAAGTGGGAACGTCTGCAAAGCGGAGACATGTGGCTACCCATAGACCCCAAATTCATTCAGATATCTCGGAGGTCAGAAGTTTCGAAGTCCCACCCATACGCCCAGCTGACCCAATCATGAGCCAGGCTCAGCTGTCAATTATGATGTGAAATTTTTATAGCTTCAAATTACTAATTAAAACTAAACTGATCAGAAAAATGAACTCTTTAACAAACATCAGTGTGATAAGAACCTAAAATGACAGAAACCATCTTTAGGAAAAATGTTTTTGATACCTATACTGCAGTCAGCCACCAGGGGGCCATAGAGTTGTTTTTGCTTCACTTTTGGAGATCTGTTATTGATCTGTTATGTCTTCCATCTTTATATATGTGGATGGTTGGTACCAGTAACGTGTTAGGTCATCCAGTTTTATATGATACAGTATGTTCACTCCGCCCTACGGCTTCTGATAGACGTGGCCAATCAGATTTCAGAGGAAATCACACCCCTGTTTACAACCCAGAGGTGTTTACTACAGAGCTAACAGCAGAGACATTAATATACGATACTTTAAGAGTTTTATGATTTCTTCTTTAAACTGAAGTATCTTCTAAAGCAGGGCTGCCCAAAGAGGGGCCTGCAGGTTCGAGTTGCTGTTTATAATTCCTAATTATATTTCATAGTCTGAGCATAAAGAGGACAGAGTGACTTTGGGGGAGTTTTCTTGTCCTGTGTAATAACACTTTAGTACCACCTGGTGGCAACTGTGTCCTGTGCTGTTACTTCCTCAGTTTTACAATCTACTAAAGCAAAGTCCAAAATGATATGCACGTACACAAAAATCACTAACTCATACTTCCTCAATAAACATTTGAAACAGTTTTGATGTAGTGAATTCAGGATCAATTAAATCTTAAAATCAGTTCTAAAACAAACAGGAAGCCAAAGGAGAGAAGCTGCTGTGGTTGAGGTGATAAAACCAGTGAAAGAAGTGTAGCTGGATCAACTTTTAATATGATTTAATATAATTCATATCGGTTTATTTTGAGCCTTTTGTAGTTTGATTTTGAGCTGTTGTGATAATCCGGAGTACCAGGAGATGGCAGCATAATCAGCTCTGGACTGGAGCTCCAGCTGGTGTGAAATGCAGTTTTACTGGATGTTCTTTGATTTATCTTGGTGATAAATTCACCTGCAGCCACGATAATTGTCACTGTCTTTAGCAGTTATATGGAACTCTGTATTTAGTAACGTGGTGTAGTGCTGGGTGACACACCAGATGAACCGGTTTTAATTTCCTGTGTGATCTGGATGTTTCACATACTGTCATACTGGCTCCATTAACCAACTGCGTATCCTTCTATAACAAAGCATTAATAACCCACAACTAACTCTTTTTAACAGGACAAAACACTAAGGAGTATTTTATCAGTTTATTATATAACTCTTTTAAAATATAAGTTCTGTTTTTACTCTTATATTGTTGATTGATTCCTTCATACTGGATATTCTGTCATTGGGGCCAAGAAACCCCTAACAGCCTTTAGTATACACATGATGGCATTAAATGTCTTTATATATTATTTAAAAATAACAAGAGAGATAAATAGATGATAATAGAGAGAATTTAGCTTGTTTTTATTTATTTATTTCCTGCCAAGCTGCTGCTCCACACTCCAGTCCAGCAGGTGGCGGTAATTTGAAGGCCAGAGCATCTCTTCAGAACTACATTACTTCATTAAAATGCTGTTCTGTCACACATTTTACCTTTATCAAAAAATTATGAAAATAATATCAAAATATCGTGCAGCCCTATAATTAATGGTTATGTTTTGTTATTGATTATTTTATATATTCTGAATTTTTACACCATGCCACTACCTCCTGCTGTTCCATATCAGTCACATATAAAAATATAAATAATATATATGTATAAAAAAAGCTGTATATAGTGTTCATACAACTCTTTTTATATGCTATTATTATTTTCATTTTATCTTGTATTTTTCCTATATTATTTATTTACTTACAGTATATACTTTATATTATATTATAGCCCTATGTCTATAGCCTATATTTCCACTAATCTATACTTTTATTTATTTAATCAGAATCAGAATCAGGAATATTTTAATAATGTTACAAACTCCTGATAACCAAACAACAAATATTAAG